GCATATAACCCATACCACTTCCTTTTGGTAGAGGTTAATATTGATGGTTACAGAAATGTTTGCTTAATTCCCAGCTAGCTCTACTCTTTCTCCCATTTGAAATATTGTTATAATTTATTTGTATATTTTCAAAGGCTATCATAAATCTTCTGGGTTTTGATGATGCATGTACATATTTCTTCTACAAGACTATCAATTTTTTGGAAAGGTAGGAATGATTTCTTTATACATCTTTTTTCACACCGCTCTGCCTAATACAATGATTTATGCTGGATGGGTGTGGAAATTCTCAGCAAACCCTCCAAAGTGCTTTAGAAGATGACAGACATTGACTTCTGTACGTTATTTTATACCAATTTCAATTCCTTGACCCAGAAGTACAAGGCTAGAGCTGTTGGTGATGAGCTACTGTCAGCCTGATTTATGTGGCTTACAGAGAAAACAACCCTAAGAGGGAAAGGACCAGTGTGAAGAGCTAGTGCTTGACTAGAAGAGACTTAGATGTGCAGATAAGAGCATCAGTTAGAAGTGGGTTTGAGTGTGTATGTATGTGAAAAAAGAACTAGCCTGATTTGGAACTGAGTAAATTGTATGTGGTGAAATAGAGGAGAAAAGGCAGGACTGTGACATGTGTGTGCATTACCAACCTTAGAGGGAAGAAAAGAGCAGCTGGGGAAAATATGTTAGTTAAGACAGGTCACTATGTCACCAGATGGTAGCTAGCATCAAGCAAGCACTGCCTCTGTGGGGTGGAGGTAAGTGACAAAGCATCAGAGTAAGTGGAACCAACTGTTCTGATACACAGGGTGCTCATATGTTGCATTTCATAACCCAGGCTTCTCTCTGTAGAAAGTTGGCTTTGATGCCTTCAGCTCTTCCTCATTCTCTTCACCTGTTGGCCCGAAGCCTCTCAAGACCAAAAGCTAATCTCCTTTCCCCTCCAAAAAACCTTAAAATCTTAAGAAAATGCAAAGAACTCTTTCACTGTGTTGCATGAGGATATCAACTCCCGGTTGCACTCACATCTAAATTGACATCAAGGCGTAAACTAGTGCTGACCATGACAGAGTAAGAGGAACCAGATTTAACTCTTATCTGAAGCAATTAGAAAAAGAAACAAAATGTAAAAAACACTAGTTTTCAGACATTGGACAACAGCAGGCTAGGACCCTGACTGTGAGAGAAGGGGAGCAAATAGGTGATGGACACAGTTTCCCCAGCTTACCAGCTGGAGCCAATTTCCAAGCTTCAGCACAGGGAGGAGAAATCCAGAGTCCTGAAGACTAGTGGAGTTGAGAAGGCAGAGCAAGATGACTGGAACTTACAGGACACAGTGCCAGAGAGGAGGGAGCTACATAGTGTAGCAGCTACCTATTGCTGCGTAAGGAACTCAGTGGTTTAAAACAAACATTTATCATGTCACATGGTTTCTGAGGCCCAGGAACCTAGAAGTAGGATATTTCTTCTGCTCAGGGTCTCTCACAAGACTTCAAACTAGTGACCAAGGTTACAGTTTCTGAACACTTAATGAAATTAGAGGTTCTGTTTTCAAAGAAACTTTGAAACTGTTGGCAGGAGACTTTGTCACATTGACCTCTCCATAGGGCTGCTCATTACACGTGTTTCCTCAGAACAAGTGAGGCAAGAGAAAACTGGAAGCTATGGTCTTTTTATAACCTAATGAAGATGGCATACCATCATGTCTACCATAGTCTGTTCATTGGAAACAAATTACTAAGTCCAACCTACCCTCAAAGGGGGAAGTTCTACAAAGAATTTATGGACATATTTTAAAAACCATCAGAGGGCACTTACATCCTCTGGCAAGAAAATTATTTGCACTCCCGTCTTGTGCAAAGTATATTCATCCTCTCCCAATACTATCAAAGGCTCATCTTATTAAAACATGAGCTCAAAGTCCAGAATCTTACCATCTGAATGCTGGCTAGGTGTACATGAACGTCTTCAGTGTAGTTCATTAAGTAGAGCTCCTTGAATTTAGTCCTCTCTCTATAAACTTGTGAAATTAAAGTAACAATTTATCTGCTGCTCATACACCCAACATATTGTGGTGGGACAAGCAGAGGATAATTACTATAGACATTTCTGCTCAAAAGGGAGGGAAGGAGGAGGCAAAAAGGAGTCACTGGTCCACAGCAATTCTAAAATCCAACTGGGAAAATGTAAAGTTCCTTGCTTATTTCTCAGGGTCTGAATAATTATCCATGGCTTGGGGCTCTGTCCTCTAGGAGTTTCTATCTACCCTCTGAGTCATCCTTCCATTTTCATGAAAAGCAGTGTGCATTTGCGACTGCATAGTTTTCTCAGTTGACTTCCTGGCAGTAGAATTTATGGTGCCAACAACTCCGTATCATTTTATATAATTTCTGTCCCCTTCTGACCAGAAATGTTTCTGCATATGTAATTCTGTTTTTCAAACTTTGTGGGTCTTCCGTGAATCTTTATGGGTTCACCTCATTAGATAACAACCACAACCTCAAATCTCTTGTGAGATAAACCCTTCCCTACCGTGAGCTGAGAGACAGTGCTCTT